GTTCATGTAGTAAATTAAAAATGTGTAATGACTGTTTCTTTTTTGGTTCTAGAACTGTCTAGGTGCTTTAGATGGAACATACATAAAGTGCCTAGTGCCACTTGAAGACAAGCCTAGATACAGAACACGAAAGAATGATATCGCCACAAACGTGTTAGGGGTGTGTTCACAAGATATGCAGTTTATCTATGTCTTGGCAGGATGGGAGGGGTCAGCCGCTAATAGTAGAGTCCTTCGAGATGCTCTTCTTAGGCCTAATGGGTTGAAGGTGCCAAAGCCGTATTATTACTTGGTAGATGATGGGTATACAAATGGAGAGGGTTTTCTTGCCCCTTATAGAGGTCAAAGGTATCATTTAAATGAGTGGCGTGATGGATACCAACCAACTACGCCAAAAGAATTTTTCAACATGAGACATTCTTCTGCAAGAAATGTTATAGAACGATGCTTCGGTATTTTGAAAGCAAGGTGAGGAATTTTAAAAGATAATTCATACTACCCTGTTGAACTCAAAGTTAAGGTCATAATGGCATGTTGTCTTCTTCATAATTTTATAAGACAAGAAATGCCAATTGATCCGTTTGAAAACATACCTTGCTCGAATGAAACCGAAGACAATGAAAACCAAGATAATATCACTTCCGTAGGTGCTTCTACCGAGTGGACTGAATTTAGAAATAATTTGGCTCAAAGTATGTTGAATGATTGGAATGCTTCTACTTAATTTTTATGGTTTGTAATAGTACAATTTTATTTTTATGGTTTGTAATGGTACAATTTCATCTTTATCGTTATTAGTTTTAATGGTACAATTTGATCTTTTATCGTTATTAAATATAATGGTATGATTTAATGATACAGGTGAATGTGAAACAGGCCTTGTGTATGGTTAGTTCAAATATAGGTATGTGAAACAGGGCCTGTGTGTGGTTAGTTCAAATGTAGGTGCATAAGAAATCTTACAATGATGTGGATGATATTGATAATGATGTAGATGTCCTTTGAAATCTTACTTATGTGCTGCTTTATCATTCAATGTAAAACTAAAATAGAAATTGTCTGCCATGACTGGGTGGACTCTTCCTTCAAGAATCTGCAATTTGTTTTCATTTAGTCACTCTATTTGGCATATAATGACTGCAATTTTAAATTATATATGTTAGRTACAATTTTATATTTATCGTTATTAATTTTAATGGTATAATTACATCTTTATCGTTATTAGGTATGGCGGATAAAATCAATGGGCGAAAGTATCGTAATTGGTCAAAAATCGAAGATGGAAAACTTGTTGATGCATTGGTGAATATGGTAAATGTTGGAGGATATAAAGCTGATAATGGCTTTAAATCCGGATACTTGCAACATTTGGAACAAGCATTGAAAGTGTCGCTTCCTGATTCTAATTTATTAGGTAAACCACACATCGAGTCAAGAATAAAAACCATGAAAAAGGACTGGCAAATCGTACACGATATGCTACATGGTACGAACACAAATGGCTTTGGTTATGA